GCATATTTCAGCAAAGGAGCATTCCCCGAGCCGGAGTGGAAGGCCCAGGGTGGTGACGGGGCAGTGCTGGGTGGAGGGGGCTCAGGCCTCCAATTCCTGTCATTCCAAAGGTCCCATAAAAAGAGGCACGCTCATTCTTCACCTCGCTGTGAAACCGGAGGCCCCCTCCCCTCATCGTACCACAATTCCTTGGTGAGGATCAAGCCAGAGTTTTGGTGACCTCTGTAACCCAGGGGCCACGGGCAGCCCACATTCTCCTGGAAGTCAGGACCCATCAGCGCTCACAGCCACGTGAGTGCGGGACCCTGCAATCGTGTAGCTGGGAGCCGGGTGGAAAGAGGTGGGGTGAGGCAGGTCGGGCAGGGAAACAAATCATCTCCTCAGCTTTACTGGTGGCCTAGCCTGGCAACGCGGATTGAGAGCGAGGCCCTCTTCCTGAACCGTGATAGGCGCTTCGACAAATGTCTGAGACCAAGAAAAAGGAAAAGGACCTGGGGAACGGAGCTGAGAGCAGAGAGAAATGGGGCGGGCGGGAGAGGAGAGGCAGCCTCCACCTGGCTGACGCGGTTAGGGCGGAGGCTTCCCGGGAGGAATCTCAGGACAGCGAGGTATGTGAGAAAGGTCCCCTGAGATGGTCCAGCCCAGCTTCTCACTGCACAGACGGGAAACCGAGGCCGGGCAAGGTGACGGGATTGTCTCGGGGGCTGCCGTCCCCTGCTTCGGTGTCCTCCCACCAGCTCAGGCTCTGCATCCTTCACATCACTCAGCAAAGAGTCCAGTACCTGGTGCACATCTCTTGACTGATCCACAGGCAGGGCTGTTCGTAAGTGACAAGGGTGGCACAGTCAGGGCATCTCTGGAGTAACTTTCTAACAGTGGTGTTCAATCTGCGGCACCACAGAATCTGCCAGAAAGGTCTTTAAAAAAGGATGCCCAGGCCCATCCCTGGAGAATCTAATTCAGTTGGTCTAGGGGGGAGCCCCTGCACCGGTATGTTTTATTGGGTTGGCCCAAAAGTTCGTTCAGTCTTAAATAAAAATAAGAGACACATTTTTCATTTTCACCGAGAACTTTATTGAACAACTTATTCACTAACCGAATGAACTTTCTGGCCAGTCCAATAAAAGCACCTCCCCATGAGATTCTGACGGACAGCTAGGCCGAGAAACAATGCCCTAAAGAAAACCTGGTGACCGGAACTCAATATTCCCAGGCTGGATCCCCCCTTCTGACATCACATCAGTAAAAGACTGTGCCTCAGTCGGCCTGTCTATGAACTTGACCCACCGCCTACAAACCATCAGCCATCCGACGTCTTAGTGCTCAAAGTGTGGTCCCTGGGCCAGAAGCATGGGCATCACCTGGGAGCTTGTTAGAAATGTAGCACCTCAGGTTCTACCCAGACCTCTTGAATCAGAACCTCTATTTAAATAAAATCCCATGTGATTCAAACACACATTCAAGTTTGAGAAGCACTGATCTAATGAAGACCCCACGCTTGGCACATAACAGACATCCGAGAAATATCTGTTTAATAAGTAGAATTTTACTTACAAGAACATTACTAAGAAAATGACCACGTCTAAGGCAAAAAGACTCAGTTTAGATGTAAAAACTGAAGATGATTTTTGAGCTGTGGATTGGTGACTGGGGTCCCCTGGGACCCCAAGGTCTCTGGCATTGTCCGTGCTCATGAGGGTAGTGCTTTTGGACGTCTTGAGATAACAGCGCTCAGTCTGCCTGGGAAGGGTGAAAGGTCTTTTGACTTTCCCCTGGGCCCACTTGCCTCTCCATGGGGGCGGCATCCCAGCTTGGCAGGCAGCGCCACACTGTGCCAAAGAGTGTCCACTACATCAGAGCCTGCCCCTCTCCTGCCGTGCTGCCAGCTCCCACTGCCGAAGCCCAGGCAGTGAAAGCGGTCGGCCAAGGAGGGCAACGTCCAAAGACAGCTGCTGGGAGCTGTGTTCATAGGCACTTCACACCCTGTCCGCTTTGCAGCCAGAATCACTAAGCCGGGTCTCAGAACTGGTACGTGGAGGCAGAGGCGAAACCTGGCCACGTGAGGGGCATCTCAGAGGCCGCCGAACTGAACCAGGGGCTGGCTGGGGATCCAGAGGCAGTGGGCCTTGAGTGCATGCAGCTGAGCGTGAACCCCAGAGGGAGAAAGCAGGGGGAAGGCGCTGGGGGCCAGGCCCAGGACTGCTGGCCAGGGAAGATATACAAATCAGGTTGGCCAGAAGATGAGAGCAGGTGAAAAACGACACCCCTGTGGGTCACAAGGAAAGTGGGGTTTGATGAGCTCTGCCCACTGCTCTCTTTTCTTGAGCCTTGTGGGTCTGGGGTGGTGAGTGGCCATGTATTATGCTGCCTAGAAAGCCTTCTCCAACCCGCCACCTCCTCAGCTGCAGAGCGGGTCCTGACACACACGCGGTGCTGGCTTCCTCCAGGCCTTGTGACCGGGGGTCTGCTAGGAGCTTAGGGGCAGCCTCACGCCAGCACGTTCAGCCCACCTTCCATGGGAGCCAAAGGGCTCTGAACAGTGACCCAGGAGGCCTGAGTGTCCAGCTCCAGCCCTCTCCCTCTTACACTTAAGCTGGGGCTGCAGGAGATGAAGGGGGTGGTAGGGTCTAGGGGACATTTCGATTTCTAAATATCTGACCCACAAAGGCTCCACCCAGGCAAATGGCAGATTGGGAGTGAGGGTCCCCCTCTGCCCCAGAGACAAGTGACGCTAGCAGGACTGGGTCTCTTGGGCTGGCCCCCAAAGCCTGTCACACATGACAGACCTATCACTGAGCCCCGATATGGGGTAAGCAAGTTCCTGAGGATGAGAGGGACCCAGGACTGTTTCATGTCACTAACAGGGCCAGGAGAGACAGAGAAAGGAAGCAGCTCACGTGGGGCCACTCACGCCCTCCCTGAGGCCCCCGACTCATCTTTAGCAGCGCAAAATCATCAGGTCCACTGACCAGTGTGGAGCAGCCAGTCACTTTCCCAGCAGGAGCTGCAGAGGCCAAGCTCCGGGTGACGATGGCTGAATCAGGCCGAGAAGCCCTGTTTCCTGCCTTTCGGTTTGGTGCTCTTTCCCTGCGCTAGCGTTTGCCAAACTGTGTCTCCCAGCACACTGATTCCACAAGAAGTCATTAGCTGGGGAATGCAAAGGGGACTTCACTGAGTTGGGTGCGGCCAAACAGGTTCCCTTCCTGCTGGCCTAAGCCAGTCAGTCCACTCTGTGGCTGATGGAGAGGCGGGTGTAGGGGCCACGAAGCTCCGTTCGTGGCTGAGCATTTCCCAGGACTGATGCTCTGCTGGACACTGTGGGCAAGGCTGCTCTAACCACGGGTCACTGGAAGAGAAGCCTGACCGGGGCAGGACCCTGGGTGGCCCCTGCTGCCAGCTGCCCTTCCCTCCTGGGTGCGTCTCGTCTCACGCCCTGTGTGTCTGTCCACCACTGGCTCTGGCTGGGTTACGTGGAGCTGGCAACTGTTGTCTAGAAGTCTTGCCCTATCCCGGCCCTCCTCTTGATAAAAGCCAAGGCCAAAGGCCAATCTGTCCCTGACTCCCCCGTGCCTGGCTGTACGTGGCAGACAGGCTGCTTCCCACTGTCACCCTCCACACTCTCCCAGGACATTCCGGCGAGCGAGGAACATGCCCGATGTGCAAATCCCTCAGGTAATGAGGGAATTCATCACCGGGGAGCGTGGGCAATCCAGGAATGGGAACCCGATCGGTGCCTGGAGCTGGACAGAAGCAGCCCAGGCTGGCCAGCGAGGCTCGGGTTGCAGTGAGCAGTCTCCCTGGGAAGAGGAGAGGACGGCGGGGATGGAGCCCATGGGCAGCCTTCAGAGGGGGCTCCTCCCACCCTGTTCTCAGGGAAGAGAGGGAAGACCGCGAACCAGGTGGCTAAGACCAGGGTGACCATATGTCCTGGTTAACGCCTGGGGTCTCGGCCTGACTATGACTAGAGCCCCCAGTCTCAAAAGTGTCATGGTTTGGATGACCTATTATATGGTCACCCTCATTAAGACAGACCTGCAGGTGGTTTCTTCCAGCTCTGTAATCCTACTTTCAGAACTTCTAAGCTATTGCTTTACCCTACCTGGACTGAAACTCATTTCATATCTCAACTAGCCTAAGATACAAAGCATGATTACAGATGATTTTCCACAGCCAAGTCTCCCAGGAATAGTCCCTGGGCCTGGCATGGCCACCATGCTGACGCCACCGGTTTTGGGACCAGTTCACTTGCTACCACCCATGACGAAAGAGCAGGTATAGGCCTTCAGCTCTCCACCTATGAGATCAAACAGTGCTGGGCTCAGCCTAAGTACCCATGCCCATGCCCATTACACACCCCAGTAAAACCATTGCTGGACGCCGGCACCCACGGAGGAAGGAATAAAGAGGGGCGGGATTCAGTTCTCTGGGGTGGAGGGATTTAGTGGGATAGCACCAAGGAACAAGACAGTCTTTGATCTCCACACTTCCCCTCGGCCCTAAAAGTGTTTTCAAGAAGCCCCGGCGCATTGGCAGACAGATCAAAGCTTCCCTCCTCAAGGCCCTTATGCCTTTTTCTCAGACCCATCTCAGCACCAACTACAACCAGTGCACCACCTGCAGGGTCTGGAGGGTGGTCCCGGGGAAGAGAAAGAGGAGGAAAAGAGAAGTCCACAGTAAGTGTATGTCTGCTGGGACGTGGAGAGGTCGCAGCAGAGCCTATTAAGACAACAGCCAGCCCTCCTATCATGGAAATAGAAAGAGGGAAAGGCTGGTTAAACATGAAGCACCTATAAAATTATACTGGTCCATCGTAACCATGGAGCCCTCACACAAACACACGCAAATCCGGTCACTCATCCCTTGCCCCTTGAGTGCCTTTTTATTTTCTGTAATTAATCGGGCAAGGGTGGAACTTGGGAAAAGTCAGAATCTGCAGCCTTCTCTCTAGTAATAACCCACCGGTGGGTGGGGTGGGAGGTGCAGCTGTCGGCGTCCGTTACCTGAAGCATGTTGAGAAGCAGGCTCCGGAACTTGGTCCCCTCCACCATGAAGAGCGCCATCTTGTCGCAGAGCTTGGCGGCCGTGAAAGCAAAGCTGCGGTCGGACACGGCCTTCTGGTAGATGGTGCGGACGATCTCCCCCAGCATCTCCTCGGAGTTGGTCGAGTTCTGGGCCTCCTCCATGAAGGTGGTGAGCTTGGCATCCACGTCGCTGCTGTTGTTTCTCATGCTGTTCAGGATCTCAATCAACTTGTCCATCTTGTTCTGCTGAGGGTTGGTGGTCTCCACGGCCACTTCATCCTGGGCGTGTGGGAGACAAACCGAGTCGCGCCTGAGTGGAGCCCAGCTTTCTGCGGAGGAGTGGCCAGTGGAGGAGGGGCTGCCACCCTCAGAAAGGACCCGCCCCACCTTCTAGAACATGAGGTCTGATCCCTCCGGGAATGCCAACCTTCACCATGGACCCTGGGGCCCCAGGCTCTCTGCTGACCCTTTTCTTGGCCCCTGTGACACCCTGGGTGGACCCTTCTTGTGAGCTACAGCTCTTACCCGGGATTCTCATACACACTGGCTTTGCCTCATACACATTAAATATCTCAATCTAGAAATGGTTTAATGGGGCTTATAAAAGATGAAATAAAATAACAGATAAGGAATTGGGCCAAGAGAAAACGAGGGTAGGAACACTAGGTCAGGAAGGAGGCAGCATCCAAAATGCCTGCTCTGCTGGGTAAAGGTGCCCATGGCGTGGCTACCTGGTCCTCCAGACCTCAGCTCCTTCAGCCCGAGGACCATCATGTTCTCTGGGTGTGGGGATCCCGGTGACATGGCCTTGGCATTGTGTCCCATGGAGACTGTGCTGGCTTTTTACAACAAGCACTGCACACCGAGGAATCCTTCAACGTGCCACGAAAACAACTCGAGGAGGGAAACTTCAGATAAAAAACCCTGCACCCTTGAGTGGTTTCACTACAACTGGGACCAGACCTGCGCTGGGGGAGGAAGCAAATGGCATTTGATGTCTCAGAAGGATAGACTGGCGGCCAGGAAAATGGCTGACTTAACTGCTGGGATGTGAGACCAGGGTTAAAGGGCAGGCTCAGGGACATAAAGGGAAGCCCCATGTTGGCCCTTCCAGCATCAACAGAAGAATCCAGGGCTGGGAGGCTCAGACCCAGGTCCTAGAACCTGCTCTCTGTCTCTAGCTGGATGGCTCTGGGAAGTGGTTTCACTCTCTGGGCCTCATTTTCCTCCCTGGTAACATGAGGAGGTTAGGTTAGATGGTCTATGGCTTCCCCTTAGCCCTGCTATTGCTTAAGCACATTCCTCCTGGTCCAGGAGTCCAGGAGGCCTCACCTGAGGGCAGTTCTTGAAGCTGAAATACAGGCACTATGATCTACCTTACCTGTTCTATCTCCCCCTTCCTTCCCCACCCCAACCCTGCGGGCCCCAAGGCAGGAATAGTGGTCAGTATGTATAGAATAACCCCTCGAGGGTCTTCACACAGCTTATGGCATTTGATCTGCAGTCTGTCTGCAAGGTGGATAGTATTATACCCATTTTACAGATGGGTAAACTGGGCAGGGGGTGTGCCCAGAGAGGTTAGGTGACTTGCCCAAGGCCACCTAACCAGTCAAAGGCAGAGTGAAGACTGAGCTTGTTTGCTGGACTCCAAAGCCCATGTTGTTTCCTCTCTGTGGCACTGCGGTTACATTCAGTAGAGCTGGAGAGAATTAACAATCCTCTCTCCCCGGCTGGACTGCAGCAGTCTGTTCCAGAAGCTCTTCAGGCAAAGACCACACACTGGCCATCACTTGGGAAGCTCTCCCAGGCTCTTATCTTTGGGATGTATGGGAATGAGTGAGGCTTTCCTCCAGGACCTCACAGCCGCCCGTCCCACAGGGAGCAGTGGGTGGGGGCCCGGGGCTGTAAGGATGCCAGCAGCAGCATGTCACCTTCGAGAACTGATCAGGGAAAAGGTCTGACCTGCCTTGTCCTGCCTGAGTGTGGACCTGGCCTCGGAGGTGAAAGGTGGAGGAGAGAAGGCCGTAGAGAGATGCCAGGGAGAAGCCCGGAACTTCGAGCTCTGCAGAAGCCCCAAAAGGAGCACTCCGTGGAGGAAAGCTGGGGGCAAGTTGGCCTTTCTTGGGAACAGCTCCTTTCCAAGGTGACCTTACCTGCACCCCTGGCTGAGGACGGGGAGCTAGGGTGCTCAGAGTGGACTTAACGATGCCAGGGACAGAGCTCCAGCCCTTCTCTGGAGGCTTGGGGCATCTCTTCCTGAATTTGTGAACTAGGCTTTAGAGACCGGGGCCAGCAGTAGGGTGAGGAATGTGAGGCTCCTGGGGAGCAAAATTTAAGGAGGCCCTCCTTCGCAGGGCTGTGCCAGTGCAGGATGGGCAGCTGCGTGATGCTGAGAGTGAGTGCCTCCTTAAATTTTGTCCCTTAGACCCCTCCCTACTGCTGATTGGTGAAGTGGGGGAGTGGCAAGGCTGAGGCCAGTCTGCTGCACTCTGCCCAACTCACCTTTGCTCTCCCCTGGCAGGGAGCGCAGCCTGGTACTCGCCTTCGGGAGAAGCATTCTTATGTTATAGGCTCTGTGTTTTCCCTAGATGCCCTTTAGCACTAACAGGGCAGTATCTGCCACCAGATAATGCTGGAGGGAAGAACCAGGCCTTCTCTGCCCACCTCCCATCACCTGGAGGCACATGCCTCTTCCTCCCCTCCCTTCTCAGGCTGCGGGCTGGTACCGAGTGTTCACCCGGGACTCTTGGAGGGTGGAATGTGCTGGAGGGGGTTCACATGCAGAGCTGGCCATGGGCCTGCCGTCTGGTGGCCGGGGGTCCCTCAGGCAGCGTTGACCAGGTGTGCTGGGGCCACATGAGCCTCCCTCCACGAGGCTCCCCAGGTCCGCAACCCCGAGCCCACCTACCAAGATGCCTACCTCGCGCTGTCCTCCCTGATGCAAGAGAACAAGGAAAATTCAATTACCGGTACCTTTTCTTTCAGCCTTCGCCGCAGCCTGTCTTTGGAAGACTGGAGCAGGGTAATTCTGGGCCGCTCCCCGCTGCGCTCGGGAATAATACTGTCTTTACGCTTTGTCTCAGCCTCTGGACCGCCTGGCTGCAGCAGGGGCAGCCTCTCGGAAGCCACCGGGGCCAGGGCATCGGGGCTGCAGGGGGGCTCGAGGCCGCTGTGCCCGGCCTCCCCCAGGGCGTCCTCGAGTTTGGGGCTCTCCACGGTCACGGTCTCTTTGGCACTGCGGTGGGCGCCTGCCTCCCCCTTGTCGCCTGGTGGATGCTTCATGTTGCTGTGATGCCAGCGCCGGTTCTGGCTGTAGCCGTGATGGGTGGACCTCCCTGAGGGGTGGGGCACTGAGCCCCCCTGGTAGGATTTCTGGTGGTCCCTGTTGTGTTTGGCACTGCCCGGTGGGTGGTCACCGTGCTGTTGAGGCTTGTTCCCTCCTGGGGGTCTCTGCTGCCGCCTGCAATCCAAAGGGGAAAGACAAAGAGGGTCACTGGGGCCGCTGGCCGGGGTCCCTGTGTCCAAACATTAGAAGGAATTCATTTATTCATTTTTTCAATACCCTTAACTGAAGGCCTCCTGTGCACCAGGCTTTGTGATGGGGCTTGGGGATACCAGCAGAGAATATGACAGACAGGCCCCTGTGATTATATAGGATTTAAGTCAACCCTTGACTTAAAATAAGTATTTTATTCCTTTATTAGAATATGCGTTAGTACACGTGTAGGGAACAAAATTAAAATGACAGAGTATACAGCGAATCCTCCTGACTGTCCCCAGACACCCAGTATGTTTTCTTGAAGCAGCCATTATCATTTTGTGAACATACTCTATGCATGTTCCAGGAAAGATATATACACAGACCTGCATCTGACAACAACTATCCTGTTAATGACTTTTTAACCATCATGACTCATGAAGAGTTATACCATTTGTTACACAGCCTTTCTTTGGGTACACTGACATTTCTGCCCCCAAACCCACTAACAAAATATGCTATAAGAAATTGTTACAGGCAGAATCGTGTTTCTCTCAAATTCATATGTTGAAGCCTCAACCCCTAGGACCTCAGCATGTGACTGCATTTGGAGATGGGACTTTTGAAGAGATGATTAAGTTAAAATGAGGCTGTTAGGGTGGGCCTTAATCTAATTTGACTGGTATCCTTATTATTATTATTATTTTCGGCCGTGCTGCACATGCCTTGTGGGAACCAGGGATGGAACCCGGGCCCTGGCAGTGAAAGCACTGAGTCCTAACCACTGGACCGGCAGGGAATTCCCATGACTGGTATCCTTATAATAAGAGGAAATTTGAATGCACAGACACCAGGGATGCAGGTACAGAGGAGAAATCCCATGTGAGGACACAGCCAGAAGGTGGCCATCTACAAGCCAAGGAGAGAGGCCTCAGAAGAAACCAAAGCCAATACCTTGACCTTGGACTTCCAGCCTCCAGAACTGTGAGAAAGTAAATTTCTGTTGTTTACCCACCCGGTCTGTGGTATTTTGTTATGGCAGCCCGAGCTGAGCAATACAGAAGTGATATTTAACATGGTGGTTTTAGGCAGACAGGCTCATCGAGTTTTTTTTTGACAATTTCAAAGCAGAGATTATCATATGGAACAAATTTGAGGTGTACATCATGGGACAAACCCCAAACGTGTTGATTTGAAGACTAAGGGAGAGCAAGGGGGTGGGGGTATTCTGAGGACCCTTCAGTCCAGCAGCTCAAGGGCTGCTTCCACCACTGAAGCACTCCTGTGTTCCACCTCTGTTTCACCCTCACGGTGTTTTCCATGCCATAACCTTATTTGAAGTGCATTTGGAGAACAGGATAACCATGAGCCTCTCAAAGTTGTCAAGCCAGTGAAGAAGTGGAGAGAAGACGTTACATTCTAGGGAATGAGGCCCCTGTCCCAGTCTGTGATCCATCTCTTTGGCAGGTACAACAGAACTTCGCTGCACTGCATTTCATGAACAAATTATATTTATTTGCTCTAAAATTATTATTACTTATATAAACTCAATTTCACTGTTCACTTGATAAATTTTGTTTTATTAATTTTTATTGGAGTATGGTTGCCTTACAATGTTGTGTTAGCCTCCACCACACAACAAAAGGAATCAGCCATACACATACAGATATCCCTTCCCTTTTGGACTCCCCTCCCATTTAGGTTACCACAGTGCACTACGTGAGTTCCCTGTGCTATACAGCATGTTCCCATCAGTTGTGCATTTTATACATAGTATCAATAATGTATATGTGTCAATCCTAGTCTCCCAGTTCCTCCCACCCCACCCCTTTCCCCCTTGGTAGCCATACATTTGTCCTCTAAGTCTGTGTCTCTATTTCTGCTTTGCAACTAAGATCATCTATACCATTTTTCTAGATTCCACATATACACGTTATTATACGATATTTGCTTTTCTCTTTCTGACTTACTTCACTCTGTATGACACTCTCTAAGTCCATCCACATATCTACAAATCTCATTCTACAGTTTCATTCCTTTTTATGGCTGAGTAATATTCCATTGTATATATGTACCACATCTTCTTTATCCATTCCTCAGTCGATGGACATGTAGGTTGCTTCCATGTCCTGGCTATCGTAAATAGTGCTGCTACAAACATTGGGGTGCATGTGTTTTTTTGAATTATGGTTTTCTCTGGGTATAGGTCCAGTAGTGGGACCATATGGTAGCTCTATTTTTAGTTTTTTAAGGAACCTCCATACTGTTCTCCATAGTGGCTGTATCAATTTACATTCCCACCAACAGTGTATGAGGGTTTCCTTTTCTCCACAACCTCTCCAGCATTTACTGTTTGTAGGTTTTTTGATGACAGCCATTCTGACCAGTGTGAGGTGATACCTCATTGTAGTTTTGATTTGCATTTCTCTAATAATTAGTGATGTTGAGCATCTTTTCATGTGTTTGTTGGCCATCTGTATGTCTTCTTCGGAGAAATGTCTTTTTAGGTCTTCTGCCCATTTTTTGATTGGGTTGTTTGCTTTTTTGATATTGAGATTCATGAGCTGCTTGTATACTTTGGAGATTAATGCTTTGTCAGTTGCTTCATTTGCAAATATTTTCTCCCATTCTGAGGGTTGTCTTTTCATCTTCTTTAAGGTCTCCTTTGCTGTGCAAAAGCTTTTAAGTTTCATTAGGTCCCATTTGTTTATTTTTGTTTTAATTTTCATTACTCTAGGAGGTGGCTCAAAAAAGATGTTGCTGTGGTTTATGTCAATGAGTGTTCTGCCTATGTTTTCCTCTAAGAGTTTTATAGTGTCTGGTCTTACATTTAGGTCTTTAATCCATTTTGAGTTTATTTTTGTGTATGGTGTTAGGGAGTGTTCTAATTTCATTCTTTTACATGGAGTTGTCCAATTTTCCCAGCACTACTTATTGAAGAGGCTGTCTTTTCTCCATTGTATATTCTTGCCTATTTTGTCATAGATTAGGTGACCATATGTGCATGGGTTTATCTCTGGGCTTTCTATCCTGTTCCATTGAGCTATATTTCTGTTTTTTGTGCCAGTACCATACTGTCTTGATTACTGTAGCTTTGTAGTATAGTCTGAAGTCAGGGAGCCTGATTCCTCCAGCTCTGTTTTTCTTTCTCAAGATTGCTTTGGCTATCCGGGGTCTTTTGTGTTTCCATACAACTTGTAAAATTTTTTGTTCTAGTTCTGTGAAAAATGCCATTGGTAATTTGATAGAGATTGCATTGAATCTGTAGATTGCTTTGGATAGTATAGTCATTTTCACAATATTGATTCTTCCAATCCAAGAACATGGTATATCACTCCATCTATTTATGTCATCTTTGATTTCTTTCATCAGTGTTTTATAGTTTTCTAAGTACAGGTCTTTTGCCTCCTTAGGTAGGTTTATTCCTAGGTATTTTATTCTTTTTGTTGCAATGGTGAATGGGATTATTTCCTTAATTTCTCTTTCTGCCCTTTAGTTGTTAGTATATAAGAATGAAAGAGATTTCTGAGTATTAATTTTGTATCCTGCAACTTTACCAAATTCATTGATTAGCTCTAGTAGTTTTCTGGTGGCATCTTTAGGATTTTCCCTGTATAGTATCATGTCATTTGCAAACAGTGACAGTTTTACTTCTTCTTTTCCAATTTATATTCCTTTTATTTCATTTTCTTCTCTGATTGTTGTGGCTAGGACTTCCAAAACTATGTTGAATAGTAGTGGTGAGAGTGGACACCCTTATCTTGTTCCTGATCTTAGAGGAAATGCTTTCAGTTTTTCACCATTGAGAATAATGTTTGCTGTGGGTTTGTCATATATGGTCTTTATTATGTTGAGGTAGGTTCCCTCTATGCCCACTTTCTGGAGGGTTTTTATCATAAATGGTGTTGAATTTTGTCAGAAGCTTTTTCTGCATCTATTGAGATGATCAAATGGTTTTTATTCTTTAATTTATTAATATGGTGTAACACATTAATTTGCATATATTGAAGAATCCTTGCATCCCTGGAATAAATCCCACTTGATCATGTTATATGATCCTTTTAATGTGTTGTTGGATTCTGTTTGCTAGTATTTTGTTGAGGATTTTTACATCTATGTTCATCAGTGATTCTGGCCTGTAATTTTCTTTTTTTGTGATATCTTTGTCTGGTTTTGCTATCAGGGTGATGGTAGGCTTGTAGAATGAGTTTGTGAATGTTCCACCCTCTGTAATTTTTTGGAAGAGTTTGAGAAGGATTGGTGTTAGCTCTTCTCTAAATGTTTGATAGCATTCACCTGTGAAGCCATCTTGTCCTGGACTTTTGTTTGTTGGAAGATTTTAAATCACAATTTCAATTTCAGTGCTTGCGATTGGTCTATTCATATTTTCTATTTCTTCTTGGTTCAGTCTTGGAAGGTTGTGCTTTTCTAAGAATTTGTCCATTTCATCCAGGTTGTCCATTTTATTGGCATATAGTTGCTTGTAGTACTCTCTTATGATCCTTTGTATTTCTATGGTGTCAGTCGTAACTTCTGTTTCATTTCTAATTTTACTGATTTGATCCTTTCCCTTTTTTTCTTGATGAGTCTGGCTAAAGGTTTATCAGTTTTGTTTATCTTCTCAAAGAACCAGCTTTTAGTGTTATTGATCTTTGCCATTGCTTTCTTCATTTCTACTTCATTTATTTCTGCTCTGATCTTAATGATTTCTTTCTTTCTACTAACTTTGGGTTTTGTTTGTTCTTCTTTCTCTAGTTGCTTTAGGTGTAAGGTTAGGTTGTTTATTTGAGATTTATCTTGTTTCTTGAGGTAGGATTGTATTACTATAAACTTCCCTCTTACAACTGCTTTTGCTGCATCCCATAGGTTTTGGGTCATTGTGTTTTCATTGTCATTTGTTTCTAGGTAGTTTTTGATTTCCTCTTTAATTTCTTCAGTGATCTCTTGGTTGTTTAGTAGCGTATTGTTTAGCCTCCATGTGT